GTCCGGCGGCCCTAATTCCCGCGTTGTTCGAGGGAGCACTGTAGTCTATTTATTCAAGTTGAGTTTACAATCTGAGGTCGTTGAAAATGCTGAATGTAACTTTTACCAGTGACATTCTTGTCTTATATATTATAGTAACCGTAAGTTCGTTACCATTTCCTTCGTATTTCGTATACTTATTATAATTTTTTAACAAAGCTTCAGACGACCTATTTCTGTATAATATTTTTTCCTTACTTATACCCATAGAACACACTGACAAAATTAGATCCGAAAAAACTGAGACGCCCTGTTTATGAGGAATTCATAATAAAATTAAAAAACTATCAAAATGTTAACACTAATGCAGATTTCAACTCAAACAGGCCTGAGTTTGTGGGTGAGGGGCACAAAAGTAAAAAGGTATAAGCACGTGTGAGATAAAATATAGCCTTTGTTTAGACGCCACCTATTACTTGGGTATTCATACTCGGATATACAATTTTTAAGAAATAGCAAACATGCAGTTTCGAGATTTAGTGGGAACAATTCTGTGATATTTAAATAGGTATTACTGTACATTGGTTTCAAATTAAGATATTTTGTAAAACTTTTGTTAATCGTAGCATTTCTATTAAATTGTTCATCGAAGTGCACGTACCTATACATTTCTCCGTAGACGTTCATTTTACGTTTACGAAAAACACAACCATCGTTGAATTCGGAAATGCTAATAATTTAGAATAATCTTATTAGGAATGTTAGCAATATTCTGACAAAATGATTTTGCGGCACAAATTGTGCAAAAAGAAGGTACACTACCGGCCAAAAGTTTGGAATCACTTCCCACTTTTCATCAATATTAAATCTGCTGCTAATTTTTTATAGATTTGAAGTTTATCTCAATTCTACTTTTATCAATTTATCTCATATCAATTCATTCGAATGATAAAAAATTCTCAAAGTCGCTGACTTTTTTCTGGAAATTTTTGTGTAAATTGTAATGCTCGGTGATTCCAAACTTTTGGCCGGTAGTGTATGCAGTTTTACGCAATCCGAAAATTATATCTGAAGATATAATCTTATTTATTGGCTTCATTATGATTAATAACATGCAATATAAGTAAATTTGGTTCGAGTGTAACTCCTAATTGCGATGATGATGTACTTGTGACAAAAGACTGTTTTATCATAGATAACCATCATAGTGTCGTTTGTGTTTCGACGATTTAGATTTGCATTGTATCATTTTATTGCGCAAAAGTTTGCCCTCCTTGTGCTCCTCTGGAACTTTCAGACAACCAATAGTGAAAAACTCTATACTGGCACCATGCGAGTCGTTGTTCATATCGGTGAATATATTTCGTACATTTACATTGTACGTGCATTCACCTTGCAGATGTCGCATCTCGAGATACGGTATCTGTAAATAACGTAACGATCGATTTCTGGCGATTAAAAATATTTTCAATTAGTATGACATAGTTTCCATAATTTAATGTAATTAATTAAATACTAAAAGAATTGGTTTTGACGGTAAGGAATGAAAAAATGTTTCAGTTTCATAAATCTCTGATACACCAAGAGTTAATAAATCTCTGGTATACCAATGACACTTCCATTGAAACTTAAGTTACATACTGTCCGACAAACCTAAAGTGAAGCTTCTGACGTCACACAGGGCCTAAAAGTGGGAGATGTAGGGGAACTTGCGACTTGTAAGCCAATAGGGATAGAATAAGGCTATCGCAGTTACTCTTAGGTCTTTCTGAGGCTTCCTTTACAATAACAATTTATTGTGTATGAATCGCTTAGAAATTAACCTCTGCGCTATTAAATATGCCTTACGCGCCAACGTAGGTAAGAGGACAAGGCGACCAAATAATTTTCAGTTTTCCGTTCTTTTATCAGCGTGTTACATTATCGACAGCTGACTTAAATTCGTTTTTCTAAGTCTAAACCATTTACCTACAACGCAACTTCCCCTCAAACGCCGGCAGTGTAAGACCCAAGAGTAGTGGGGATGACCTGAACCGCCTATTTTGCCTTCATTTTGCTAGGCTGTGACGTCAGAGGCTTCACTTTAGGTTTGTCGGACAGTACATAAGACAGAAAATGAGGAGGCAAGGACAAAATTATGTTCGTGCAAATGAAATGTCGGTTTTTTCAACAGCTAAAATCGGCGGTTCGATACCATATATTAAATTTTGTCAGACCATAAATTTTTGTACACAATAGTCAAGGAGAAGGAATTTGCTGCAGTTCACGTGCACTTGTTGAATAGTAAAATATTTATAATACAATTTTTTGGACATTATTATCTAACGTGATGAATAATCGAGATACATATTTACGTAATTTTCTTATATAAGTTTAAACTTGGAAAAACTGCGGTAAAAATTGCTGAAAGTATAAATTTAGCATTTGAAGAAGGTTATGTAAATGTTGGGACACTTCAACGTTGATGCGCAAAATTCAAGTTTGGTGATCTAAAATCCTTCATTGGAGCAGATAAGGCTGTCGATGGTAACGTTTTAAGAAAAAATGTTGAAAACAATTCACGGTAAAGAATATGAAATTTTGCTACATCCACCTCTATTCATTAGACCATTCCCCAACAAATTACGATTTCTTGAAACACCTGAACAATTTTATTAAGAAATATTATTATTAAGAATTATTCTGAAATGAAAACGCTGTAAAAGTATTCAAAGACTAATGATTTTTATAAATTTGGAATAATGGAAAAATTGGAAAAAAAGACGTTTCATATACCCCAAACTATGTATTAGGTCATCCCATAAGTTCGTGTCGAATTTTATGATTTAGATGAATATTTCCAACGAGCCTTTAAATTTGATAAAAATAGTGTAACCTTATTCTCATGCCACAAATTCTTCCTATTTTTTTGGTAAGATCATTATATCGTCGCTGTAGAATTTCCTTGGATTTTCATTCAAATATTTTTCGCTTTCGGCACGAACTTATGGGATGACCTAATATAATACAAAAGAAGCACAGTAGAAAGGAATTATACAGAGTATTTAGCAACAAGTGGGAGAAATTTTAACGGGCGATTTTAGACGACAAAAGAATATAAGTATAAAGTTACCTTAAGTTAATCGTCTAAAAAGGTGACAAATTAGTTTCCTTTTAGACTAGTTATCCTTTTCTAGGATAACAACATAACAATTTAAACATAGATTTCGTTCTATATCAAAAAAACATGTATGTATGTACACTCCCATTCATAAATATTAGGAAATTTATTGAATGTGAACTAGAGCTGAACAATCATTACAAAATTATTAAGATCAAAAAAGAAATTATTTAGTTTGGAATTTTGTAGTATAAGGAGCACATATATTTTTACTGATATATCGTCACCTTAATACTACCACTAGATAATTCATACTCCATAAGTTCTAAAAAAAGGCAATATTTAGATTTTCCTTTTTTCACTGTACTTCCTTCCTTCATTTTTATAAATTGACATTCTCTAGATAAGTATATCAGAAGTCATATTTTCCTTGCAACTGTGGTATGTTAAAAGTAGACAACTCTAGCAGTATTTGGAAATATTGCTCACTTTAATAGTTTAATGTTTACTCCATGTTCAATGTTAAAACTCGGTTGATCTACTAATGAGTTTAAGATGTCTAGTTGTAGTATTAAGGTAACGATATGATACTAACTTAATCAATATAATACGTTCTGTACGAATATAATAGGTATCCTAATACTTATGAAAGAGTTCAAACAACCCTGAGTCATATGTGGTTCAGTGGACAGTGAACATGTTAAACTTTCCCACTTAAAAATCTCATGGAGCAAGTTTTGATATGCTCTTGTGGATTTTAGCGAGTAGTATCAGACCCTTAGGTTGATTTTTAATTGTTTGTAACAATTAACTGTACATTTCCAAATTTGTTGCAATACGTTATCATAAACTGAAAAAGAACACGCGCCGCACATCTGCGGTGTTACGAATCGCGATATGTTTGTTGGGAAACCGATAATTGTCCCTCTTTTTGAGTCAGACCATTTAAGGAATATGTCTAGGCTTACTGATAGGAAAATTGCGTGTGGTGTCGTGTGGGGTTCGCTATTTTATAAACTACGTGTGTGTTGTGATTGGTGGTGTGAAAACTGTCGTAGGTGGTGGAAGTGTATGGTGATTGGTTTTTTCGGTGTGTTTGGGGTGTGTCTGGTTCGAATTTGTTGTATTGCTTGTTGGAGGTCTGTTTATGATCTTAGGTCAGGTGGTGTTCAGGTGTGAGAGGCGTCGAGTTTTTGGGTGTCGTAAAATAATTTTCGTGCCGGCTAGGACCTCGCTTTTTAGGACGCGCTGGTCTATCGGGAATACCGATGTATTGTTCGGCTCGTCGGTACGGCCGTCTGCTGGTGGTGTGAAAGTGGGGAATTTGTTCTTACATTTGTTATATTGCTTGTCTGAAATTGGTGATGTCGAAGGTCTGTTTTATGGCTTAGGGCATGTGGTGTCTAGGTGTGAGAGTCATCGAATTTTTGGTGTAATAAAGTAATTTGCCCATGCCAGCTAAGACCTCGCTTTTTAGAAGGTGCTGTCTATTGAAAATACCGATGTTATTGTTCGGCTCGTCGGTACGGCCGAAGAACCCAAGCGGCGTCTGTTACGCAGATACAAGAATCAGGACGCCGCATATACTATGTATGCGGCGCTGGTAGCGAACATGTTAAATCATTGTTCGTCTTATTTTGTCGTTCAGAATCATCCCTTAAAATTTCATTCATCGGTATTGTAGTATCGTAATTTTAGGAAAGAGTAGTTTTATGAAAACGTGGCGAGCATGAGAGAGAAAGCGGGCGATGAGCGACGATAGCCAGGCCCAACGGGAAAAACTCCGGCGACGAGAGGCCGACGAAGGGCCTGGCTATAAAGTACGGCAGAGCCGCTTAACTTCTTGCTCACGAGCAAATTTCCCCTCCCGAGGTTCCCCCACTATGCGGTACGAACACGCAGAATATGTAGCATAAACCAACGGCAGTCGCTGGAGTTGTGGTGGGAGGACTCCTCGCGTCCTCCTCCCACCTCGACGCAATTGGAGCGAGACCATCTCAGTCGCATAGTGGGGGAACCTCGGGAGGGGAAATTTGCTCGTGAGCAAGAAGTTAAGCGACTCTGAAGTACGGCGTGCGAGGGATGAATTCACAGTGTGTTTAGAAAAGTCGAAAAGCGTGTGTCATAGTATTATAGTTATTCTTATTTTTTGTTAAATAAACATCTATTTATTTATATTTCTAATTCCACAGTATACATACCTGTAAAGCAAAACAGTAATTCCAGTTTGAACGAAGGAAGGTAAGTCGACAAAAAATTGTACAAACAATTGAAAAAGTAAATTGAAAACGATTGCTCAATTTAAACAATCATTGCAGGGCGAGTTTTTGTAAATTTATAAATAGGCAATACCTGAGTAATTTTCCAGAAAGTTTTCTTTTCACGGGCTGAGTGCTTTTCCTGCGAGATCGAACAGAATTCCTCTCTCCAGGAGACGTTGTACGCCTTTGCTTCGTGGTACATTGGCCAAACCAAATGTACCTTGACCTTTCCGCAGTGACAAGTCATTCGACGCAGATGAAGTCCATCTTGGTATCGTTCGCACCTGCGAGAATGCGTCCCGACGTCGGCTTCAATGAAAGGGCACTTCTTCGTTTCTTATTCTGATTATTATGCTCGACAGAGATACCGGTAGCAGATGAAAGAACAGTAGTTTGGAGTTTCATCTTACCGTATGTCATGTAGTCGGTGCTATTGAAAACTTTTGAGGCCTTCCGCGATGCTAACCGCCGATTTCCGTACAATGCGACAGCTTGCACTTGAAGAAAGTACTGACACTTCAGCTCCAAGTTTTTCAATTCGTAGCAAGTTTTATCCTGAAATTTAACGAATAGAAAATCATTTTTATCGAAACGAGTCGTAATAGTCGTACATATGTACACTACCGGCCAAAAGTTTGGAATCACCTCTCACTTTTCATCAATATTAAATCTGCTGCTAATTTTTTATAGATCTGAAGTTTATCTCAATACTACATTTAGCAATTTATCTCATATCAATTGATTCGAACGATAAAAAATTCTCAAAATCGCTAACTTCTTTCTGGAAATTTTTATATAAATTACAATGCTCAGTGATTCCAAACTTTTGGCCGGTAGCGTATATATAGGATTATCCAAATTGAGTGTCACATCTTCTGAGATTTGTATGGTTTCTTCATTTTAACACAAAGTCTACTTTATGGCATTAATTACGAAAGACAATATCATTCAAGTGTCCTCCTCGGCTTGTTTTCATGAGCCCGATACGTTTGACCCAATTTTCTATTACATTTTCACATAACTGAAATTCCATTTCATTAATGGCGGCTGTGATATTGTTTTTCAGCTCGTCAATAGTCTTTGGATTATTAGCGTAGACTTTACTTTTCAAGAATCCCCATAGAAAAAAGTCTAATGGTGTTAAATCACACGATCTTGGTGGCCAATTGACGTCTCCTCCTCGTGAAATTACGCGTCCATTAAACATTTCCTTCAGCAGAGCAACTGTTTCCTCTGATGTGTGGCATGTGGCACCGTCTTGTTGGAATCAGATATCGTCCACGTTCATATTGTTCATTTTTGTTAATTATGTGAGGTGGTGGAACAGAAAGAAATCAATGTGACGATAACGCTGTTGGAAGATGTGACACTTAATTTGGATAACCCTGTACAAGTCATGTTAGAATACTGAAATTCTTCGGAGCATGCGAGAAAAAGTGTTATCGAGATAATACTTTCTAAAATTTCATTCAAACGTATAGTAAATGTAAAAATATAAGTAATCAATTTTCAACTGGTAAAAGTATATAATTCGTAAGGTTCGCAATTACATGTATAAGGCTAAGGGAGAAGGGTTTTCAACGGGGAGTCCATCAACTTGCATATAAGGAACCGTTCATTTTGAAAACACGTAACATCACTGAAATTAAATATTTTTATTTAAACTAATTTCCATAATGTCCGATACACTTTTGCTAACGTATTACAGGAGCACTAATTCCGCGTGCATAAAAATCCAAATCTCTAAGAGAACGAAAGACGCAAATGAATCTCCTCGATCCAAACCTAGTTTATACCCGAAAAAATCATGCTCACAGTTTGGTGGTCCACTTCGAAATTAATTCACTACAGTTTCTTAGAATCGGGTACCACTAACACTGCAAAGTCATATAGTAACGAAGTGGAGATCGTCCACCAAGAACTGAAGGTGCAGCAACCAGCCCTGGTCAACAGAAGAGGCCCTATCCTTTTTCGTGAAAACACTAGAGCGCACGTAGCAAGCACAATGGTACAAAAATTGCATCAACTGGGTATTGAAGTTCTACCTAATCCACCATATTCCCCTGATTTATCTCCAACTTTTTCACTTTTTCCGTTCACTGAACAATTTCCTCACACAAAATGATTTAGGAAACAGGAAGATATTTAAAACGCTTTTCGGCAGATTCTTTCTCTTAGAGTAAGGCAAAAGTATATCAAACATTATGAAAATTATCAGGGTAACCTAATAACATGTCATAATATGTCAGTAGTACGTTATAAATCTTTTATTAAATTAAGCAAAATAGGTCTTTAAGAAAATTTTCGTTATTTCGAAAGTATATCAACGGAATGTATTTTCTATAAAATATAGCTTGATGGCAACACTTGTGCATTTACAATACATAAAACTTACTTTGAGAACTGTTTTGTGGTAAAGGAGAATCGAGTCATTAGTCGGACCATGAACAAGACGACTCCAAAATACTTTGTAGAACGTAATTAGCACATCCGAGGCTGGTTTAATCCATCTCAAAGTGATACGCAATTGTCCACCTACTAGCCGTGCATCGGACAATGTTAAGTTTTGCGGTTCTTTAGGATTCCGTGGTTCTAAAAGGGACAAATTATCCTTTAAATTGATAACGCAATAATTACAAAAAGACTTGAAATTCTGTTTTCCTTCACTTCGAATGATCAAATGCAAACTAATGCTTTCATGCTTTTGAAATGGTCAACTTAACGTGCAATTAATTTCATTATAAATTCATCGTAAGTTTCTTTAATAAAAGACACTGTTAAAGACACAAAGTATGATTAAAGGGAAACTTCGGAAGTTGTAATTGCACGACAAACGATCGATGATTAAACTGAAAGGAGTTTAAACTACATATGATATAGATAACAATATATGATACTGCCAGTAGAAATGATATACGAACGAACATATCAACGACAGAACGACAAGTCGTAGTCATATCGAGCATCTTGAATCGAAAAACAGAATATTCGCAAATCCTTAACAGTGGTATACACATAAATATGTACAAATTTCTTGATAAGAAATAAGGTAAAGGTACCAGTAGTTGATCAGTCGATGCCTGAAGATACTCTTTAAGCCTTCTAGATGATGTAACAAGACTAATTTTTTAAAAAAGTTATGTTATAAAAATTTTAAAAACATATTTAAAAATTCAGTTATTGCTTCAGAAGTTGACCACTCTTAAAAATGAAAACACTA